AACATCGCGTCTTAGAAAGCCAATCAAAGGCAAACCCCACACTCGATACAACAGCAGCAACTGCAGCTGCAACATCAACAACAGCAGCTGCAACATCAACAACAGCAGCTGCAACATCGACAACAGCAGCTGCAACATCGACAACAGCAGCTGCAACATCACCAACAGCAGCTGCAACCCGATAAGAAGGTGGCAAACATTTTCACCACCCACGACGGTGGCGAATAACAGCAATTTGGCTTTTAAAGTTGGCAAGAGAAAATTTTTTTGAATTAATTTTTTGATAAAATCTAAAGCTTTAAAAATAATTTTGACACTTTAATGAGGATGACGATAAAAATGAATATGGTGATTATGATGATAAAGATGATGATGACAACGACGATGATGAAGAAGATGACGCCGATGAGGATAATGATGACCGAAAAAATGAAAATGTTGATAATACACGATGACGACGATGAAGAAACATGTAAACAGACAAACACACGCAAACTCTCCACACACATCATACAAATATACACACACACAAACACAACACACGCACACACGCACGCACACACACACAGCTAAACAGATGCGGTAGTGACAGCTCGGTTAGGCGAAACAAATCAAATTTTGAAAGGCAGGCAGCTTTTCGTCGAAGCATTAGAATCAAAAAGGTTCCGAGTGAATTACATTTTTCAGAAATTATGAAATTATTTCATGTGATATTGGGATATAAAAATAATAATATTTGAATGACATTACATTGTATTGAGTGTGTGTAAGTGTCTGTATGTTTGTACGTGTGTGGGTGTGTGTGTGAGTGTGTGTGTGTGTGGGAGAATGTATATGTCTCATCTTCGTCCTCATCATCATTTTCATCATCATCATCTGTTATCAGCAGCATTATGACCACCATCCATCTTTATCACCACCGTTATTTTTATTATCTTCATCATCATCATCTTCTTCGTCTTCATCATCTTCACCATCATCATCTCCATCATCTTCATCATCATCATCATCTTCGTCTTCATCATCTTCTTCATTATCATCATCTTCGTCTTCATCATCTTCATCATCATCATCATCTTCGTCTTCATCATCTTCACCATCATCATCATCATCTTCGTCTTCATCATTTTCACCATCATCATCTTTATCATCATCTTCATCATCACCATCATCATCACCATATTCACCATCATCATCTTCATCATCTTCTTGCCAGTGGTTCCAGCCAGATCTACGAAACTTAGCCTCCTATGGACAGCACCCATCAACTGCGTTGGACGTTCTGTTGGACTTCCACGCATTCAAAGCCAAATTGGAAATGCTGAACAAAGAGATCGAGACGTTGAAATGTATGAAAGAAAAATTCGAGATGTCTAAAAATCAAAGTTGGTTATTTTTAGAACGATTTTCACTCTATAATTTATCAGAGGTTTCAACAACACAACAAACACACACTGTATGTAAATGCATGTGAAAGAAGGCATCGGCACGCACGCACAATTCATTTTATGGCCTTGGTTCTGGCGTCTGCAATTGAAACTGGCTTCTTGTACCTGTTTTGAGAAATTATTGGAGAGTCTTTCGTTATTGAGAGAAGACGTCAGAAGAAATTTGAAAAAAAAATTAACATGAAGTTGTGTAATGTCAATATTAAGTTTTATTGGATTGTTTATTAATTGAAAAGCGATTTAATTAACCACACAAATAGGACTTTGATTAATCAAATGGGATTTTAATTAATTGGAATGGAATTTTAATTTATTGAAACGGAATGTCAATTAATTTCAAAGGAGTTAATTAAATAGTTAAAGTTCGTTAACTGTAGATTAGTTGAAGACCGTTGTTTTATTATTATTATGAATTATAACATCTTTAATACCAGTCTTACGTTTTAAATTAATATACGTTTTGGGTAGGTTTTTAACAGTATTTCAATATCTAAAAATGTATTTTATTTGGTGTTATTTGAACATTTTTTTTCATACTCATGTTGCAGATCTGCAAATGATAAAAATAATCATTCTTACTTTTAAAATTTACCGTGTTATTGGGTCTATTCTAGTGGTATTTCTGTATCTACAAATGTATCATTTTGAAAACAGTCTTCATTCACACACTATATTTGTGGTAGTCTTGTATCTAAAATTGTATCTGAAAGGTTATCATTTAAGAGAGGTATCATTTAAAATGTACAATTTAAAAAAAAGTATCATCTTTAATTGATGCCACAGACACAGCAGACCCAGCCAACAACTTCCACGGTTGTCATCAGATTGAAGAGCTGAACAACATCTTCCACTGCATGCTTCCGGATTCCTCCGCTCATTCCCGCCATCGTTATAAGAAGAAACTATCTGAGGCCAACAAAATGGCCGAAAGGACTAGAACGCTGATGGCGATGGGAATGAAAGAAGGAGTGAGTGAAAGAAATCTGGAAAGAGATTCCGAGAGAATGATGTTTAAGTGAGAGTAGTTTCACGTGTTTTTTTAATATTTTTTTCCAAATTTAACAAGCACGTTAGCGTTAATTAAAAATTAATTGAAACTATTCAGAAACAAATTTTTTAAATCAAACACCCGTCCCCCAATGAAGGAAAAAAATATCCTTCTTCACAAACCTCCAACCGACCATACTCATGAAAGTTGGTCACGTTAGCAACGAAGACTGCGTACTATACGACGACGATGATGACGTCATAAACAACAACAAAAACAGCAGCAGTAGCAACAGCAACAACTACAACTATCTCAAATATGCTAATAACGAAAGCAAAGATGACGACGACGACGATGAAAAAAAACTCTCGATCAAGTTTCAGGAAGCATCCGAAATATTTTAAATATTTAATGTGCAATTATACGCGCGTGTGTCTGCATGTGTTTGTTTGTATGTGTATGCGTGTGTGTATGTGACATTTGCTTTATATATATATATATATATATATGCATATATATATATAGATATATATATATATGTATATACAAACATATATATATATGCATATATATATATGTTGGTAATAGACCATAATTTTTACAATATTCTATAAATTCTACCGAATGTTTGGCGTTAATATGTTTGTAGTTTCGTTGGCGTTAATATGTTTGTAGTTCATTAACGAACTACAAACATATTAACGCCAAACATTCGGTAGAGCATGTAAAGCATATATATATATATATATATATATATATATATATATATATATATGCATAAATATATGCATATATATATACTTACAAACATATATACAACTGGTGGTATAAAGAATCACATGAAAGAGAAACACAAAAACTAAAATTACTAGGCAAACCACAATGTTGAAATCTTACATTACAGAACAATCATTATAACTTACGACTAGCTTGATCAATACTCATAGAAGAAACACATCCGATAATAAATATTCAACAACGTGCAATTGGGATCCTTCCCACAAATTAATTTAGAAACAGAGGATTCATCGATAATGATGACACATAAAAGTTTCAAAACAATGTTGAGGATTGGCTTTTCTGTTCTATCATGTTCAAATGTTCTATCATGCTTATAAATGAATAAAAATTTTGATTTTGAAATCAAGAAACTTGACAATGATTTACGATCTACCGTAAGAAAAATAGAAAAATTAAGCAGGGAGCTAACAAATGCGAACATACTGCGATTTCCATCAATAATTGCATTTCTGACAGTCTTAATCCAAATATATATATATATATATAAATATATATATACAATATATACCTACATAATATATATATATATATAAATGTATATATAAAATATACATATATAAACATACAAAAAGATTCTTATTAACACATTTATAACACATTATATAGCTTGATGTATGTGATATTTTCTTTCCTTCTGTATTTATTTAATAGCCGCGTCAATATTTCCTTTTTATTATTATCACGATTATTATTGCAATTTAGTTATTTTTTTTATTATTGTTGTTGTTGTTGATTATTATTACGTTGATTAATAATATCATTATTTATTTTTATTAGTGTTGTTAATTATTAAAGTGGACAAAGAATAAAACAATGCCCATCCATCATATATTTACATCAGTAGTTTATGATCTAAAATACTAATTTAATACACACATCATAAACATAATGACGGAATGAAAGAGAAAGAGAGAGAGAGAGAGAGAGAGAGAACAATATAAAAAGGAAGTAAAAAGTAAGCCAAAAATGGGCGAAATATTTCACACAGAACAAGCAAATAAGATAAATGGGTAGAAAAAAATGAGAGAGAAAAAGAGAGAGAGAGAGAGAGAAAGAGAGAGGAAGATACACTAAGGATAAAATTATAAAAGAGAGAAGAGAGAAAAAGAGATAGAGAAAGAAACAAACAGAAGAAGAGAGAAAAGATAGAGAAAGAGAGAAAAAGAGAAGGGTTAGGAGATTCTACACACGCGCAAGAATGTCATCAATTTTAGTAGACAATAAATCAAAGAAAATAAACCAATATGACTATCAAATGCTAATCTACAGGCATGCCTGCACGGAATAAATAAAAATATAATAAATTAATTTAATTATTATAGGTTGTAATTAAATTATAATAAATTACTTAAATTATAATTTAAGTAATATCATGTCAAGCGTAATTATGGGCTTTGAAAAGTTTTCATCGGACATTTTTTCAATCATCGGCGTTATCATCATCTGTGTTATTATTATTTGCGTTACCATCATCTGTGTTATTATTACGACATGTTGTTACGACAAATATTATTATAGTTGTTATTATTATTAATGTTGTTGCTGTTGTTATCACTAGGTGTCATCAATTGTTGTTGTTGTTGGTGTCATCATCATGACGATCTGTATTGTTTAAAATTTTAAAATATTATATAGAAGCGTTGATGAGATCAGATCAAATAATTTTTTTTTTTCGTTATCACCATCAACACCGTCAACATCATCATCGTTACTATCACCATCTCTTCAGTTATCATCATCATCGTCGTCATCGTTTTAATCATCTAAGGCATTAATCTTATTCTCCAAATGTGATAACGATAGTTAAGATTATTATCATTATTCATCATCACCATGACAGCCGACATCATCATCATTATCATCATCACCATCGTTGTCATCATCATCATCATCACCACCACATCACCATCATCATCGTTATCATTACCATCATTATCATAACCGCGTCTCAATGACGTCAGCAGTCTGAATACGAAATTGGCGGGAATGCTGACCGTTCCTTTCGTCTCCTCTAACATCATCATGTTTCTATACGTTAACTTTTAATTGAATGAATGAATAAAAAAAAGAGTGAATGAATGAATGAACGAGTTAATGGATGAATGAATGAGTGAATGAATGAAAAATTGTATTACTTAGTGAAAGAATAAAGAAGTGAATGAATGAATGAATGAAAGGTCAAGTGATTGAAAAGAGTGAATGAATAATTGGAAAAATGTAGGCTTAAGAGGTGATTTGCCAATCGCCATCCTCATCTTCATCATCATCCTTTCACCATCACTTCATCATCATCATTATCATTACTGCATCACTCCATCATAATCATCACTCCATCATCATCGTCATCATGATCATGATCATCATCACCTCATCACAGGTGTCCTCGTCGAAAGCAGCTTCCTCCAGCATCGGCATCCACAGCTTCACGTCGTAATCGATGCCACTTGAAGCCAGAACTTTATTATTATTATTATTATTATTTATGTTATTATTATTTATATTATTATTATTATTATTCCCATCATCATCATTTTTATTGTCATCGTCGGCATTACCATAAACATTACAATTATGATCGTAACAGTCACCCAACTCATTATCATCGCAATCATCACCCTCAACACCATCATCACCATCAACACCATCGCCACATCGTCGTCATCATCAAAACTTCACCAGGCATAGTAGGGTGAGGTTGCAGGCAGTTGACCACCCTGCTGTCGGCTTCCATGGTCATTACGACACGAGTGTTCATCTTGTCCCAGACGAAAATGTGGCCGCAGTCTGAACCGCTCATCACGAAATCTTCACCCCAGAAACACGCCTCTTTGATCTTTGGAAGCCGTCAAACAACCAGTCGGTCGGTCGGTCGGTCGGTCAATCGGTCGATCGGTCGGTCGATCGGTCAGTCAGTCAATCAATCAATCAACTAATCATTCAGTCCATCTATCTACAATTACTATTTAGTCACTTATTCATCCGTATATCCAATTCCTCACCAAATCAATTAATCGATTTATCAATTAACCATTCATTTAATCATAAACTAAATCATACTATTACTGCTAGTGCTGCTACTACTACTGCTACTACTACTACTACTGCTACTACTACTACTACTACTACTACTACTACTACTACTACTATTACTACTACTACTACTAGAGCTGCTGTTGATGATGATGATAACTCACCACAGTTCTGCAATTCCTATGCCCCCTGTAGCATCTTATAGCCGCAGGCCTTGCAACATTCTCACCGTTCTCACCATGACCTTTGACCCAACAACCATCTTCATCCAGATTATCATCATCGTCGTCGTCGTTGTCGCTACTAATATCACCACCGCTACCGATTTCATTATTATTATTGTTGTTTGATGTTTTTGAATTTCGATCCCTCACGAATTGACTCTGCCTGATGAAATTCTGTATCGTAAGTGCGGCCCGTGATCTCGCGTTCTCGTTACTAAATTCACTACTACCACTACCACCACCACCACCACTACTACTACTACTACTAGTACTACCACTACTAGAAGCTGTTGCAGTGGCAGTAGTAGCAGCTGCGGTATTTACTGTGGTTGCTGTTGTAACGGGCCTTTCACTATTATTAAATTTATTACGATCTACATTATCCCTTGCATCATTATTGTTACTATCACTATTATTATTGTTATTATTATTCTTATCATCAATAACTGGTGGCTGCAATAAAAATGATGTAGACGGTTGCGGAAATGATTCTTGACGTTGCTGCTGCTGAAGCTGCTGCTGAAGCTGCAGTGGTCTGCATTGTTGCGTATTTCTATCATTTTTAACAGCCATGATACCATCATCGTCGTCGTCATCATCATTAACGACATTATTATTATTATTATTATTATTAACAACGGCAACAACGTCATCATCGTCGTCGTCGTCACTGTCATCGTCATTGTAACGTATTCTCCTGTATATCGTCGGTACGATGGGGCTCTCAACAATATTATCATTTTCATCATCATTTATTACATCATCGTTGGCTCTGACACCATCATTGTTGACCGCATTTGTAGTATCATTAGTAGTTGTAACAGCTGTAGTAATGGTAGTAGAAGTACCAGCGGTCGTAGAAGTAGAAGTAGTAGCAGTAGCAGCAGTAGTACTGCTGGGTGGTGTAAGGTGATTTTCTAGGATGTGCTGCAACAGATTGGTCATTCTCCCCATCACTCTTTCGAGAGCTTCAATTTAAAAAATAGTGAAAAAGAAATCAAACAATCAACATTTGAAATCCGAATTACTGATGTGTTGTATTTATTATTTATAATGTTTACTATAATTATAAAAATCATTATATCATTAATTGATTGCCTATATGACCATTAACTAAACAGTAACAGAAAAAAAAAAAACCAATGCCAATAACGACCCAACTGACCACCAACGACCCAACTGACCACCAACGACCCAACTGACCACCAACGACCCAACTGACCACCAACGACCCAACTGACCACCAACGACCCAACTGACCACCAACGACCCAACTGACCACCAACGGCCCAACTGACCACCAACGACCCAACTGACCACCAACGACCCAACTGACCACCAACGACCCAACTGACCACCAACGACCCAACTGACCACCAACGACCCAACTGACCACCAACGACCCAACTGACCACCAACGACCCAACTGACCACCAACGACCCAACTGACCACCAACGACCCAACTGACCACCAACGACCCAACTGACCATTGGGTGCTTCCCTGCTGGTGCTGGCTTCCCTCTGCGACTCGGGGCGTGACTTTGGTCCGGTGTCTGACCAATCACTGCGCAGCCTCAGTTTTTTGATTGGCATGCCACTAAAACCTCCTCGCTGGTTTCTTCGGGGTGACGTTTGATGTAATGACGACGACGACGATACTGATGAGGATGATGATGATGATAGGGGTGGGAGGTTGATTTCGGAGTCGAGAGCAACTGGTCTGGTGAAAATCACGTCCGGATCGTCATCTGATGAACACTTTGTTTTTCTTTTATTCTGGTGAAAATAATTAGTTTATAAAAAATTTTTTTGTCATATATTTGCATTTGTTTATTCAGCTATAAGCTTTTGTAACTTTTTTAGGTTTAGAACTTTTTCTAAAGTTTTTTTTTAAGAGTTTTTAAAATTTTAATAAATTTTCAGTAACTTTACAAGATAAAAGATCAGAATATACAAATAAAAAGTAAAATAAAACAACTTGGAAGTAAACTATAGTCTAATTTATTTAATATTTTTGCAAGCACACATACAAACACGCACATACCAACACACACGTACAAACACACATGCAGAAACAAATATAACATTTTTTTTTAAACTTTGCACATACCAAAGGTGTTTTTATCATCATCTTCTTTGACTTATCTTGGTTCTAGTTTTAATAAAGTTCAAGTCATATTTAAATAAATATAAAACAACTAAAAATTTGATAACAAAAATAAATAACGGCATTGGTATAGAAAAAACAATCAAACGAACAAACAAATGAACAAACAAACAATCGAATGAACGAACATAAAAACAAACAAACAAACGAACGAACCTTCAAATCGAAAAGGTAAACATATTCAGAAGAATAGCTAGCAAGCAATTGATCTCCATGTTGATTATGCTGTAGTGAAGTGATACGATGTCTACCACCATCTGATAGTGAAGTTGGCCGAAAACTTTTTATGTGACATTTCTTGAATGACCTTTTGTCACCTAGTGTATAGTGAAAAGATTTCATCCTGAAGACCAATCAATGACCTAGCTAATCATTCAATTATGTCATCAATCACCCAATTAATTAATTTCCTATCTAATCATACACATAACTAATCAACTGAAGAGCCAACCAACCGACCTACCGACTAGCCAACTGACCAACCAACTGACCAACCTACCGACCGACCAACCGGCAATCATTCTCCTGTCAAAAACTCTGATGTGGTTGTCGGCACAGCCAGCATAGATTTCAAAAGGCTTCAGGGGATGTAAGGACATTGACGTCACAGGACATTTGCATTTCAAGATCAAATTCTGTGTCGATAAGAGAATTTTTAAATTAATTATTGATAAATTAAAACCTGAAAAAAAAAATTGTTTAATTAAATGAATGAATAAATACAGAAAGAGTAATGAATTAGTAGGTAGATGACCTCATTACAATGGTCATGATTGCAAAATTGGTTGACCCTGAGGTCAAAGCATCTGATTGTCCAGTCCTCACCACACGACACAAATTGGTGGGGGTCGTTCGGGATAGTTAACAACTGTTCATAGTTATTGAACGTTCAAAAGGTTGAAGGTCATTACTCATTTATTTACGCAATCAAAAATTAATCTTCTCACCCACCCATTCACTCACTCACTCTCATTTATTCATCCGCTCACTTCGTATGCAGTTCCTACATGGCAGAGAAACGGTACTGTTGATTCTTTTTCTAAATTTGTTACAAATATGTCCCCGGTTGCTGATGACGAAATGACCTATTCGTTGATTGTAGTGGTCAGTATTGTTGTTTGAGGTGGTCAGTTTTGTCGTTTGTGGTGGTCAGTATTGTTGTTTTTGATCAGTATTTATGTTTGTTGTCTGAGAAATTCAAGTTTTTAAACATACAGTTAGAAATTTTTTCAAACGTAATAAACATATTTTATTTAATATTAAGTTTATTTATCCGCACACACACTCACTTCCAATAATTTCAATTAATTATACACATCCATCAACATTTATAGTAGAATATAAATACAACCCACACCTGATTATTATTTGTTAATGGTAAAAATTGAGCACAGAATATGTTTGATCTATGCATCGTCCTAAATCTAGCTTTGACCTAGAAATTATTAAAATAATATTGATAAAAATTAATATTAACATGGTTATTAATATTATAGATATTAAAATAAGATTTTAATTTTAATCCAAACAAAGAGCATAAATAATGAAAGATATTTTATTTTTATACCTTTTTCATAAACGGATCCAGAAGAACAAGATTCATGTCATCTGATCCTGATAAAATATGTGATCCTGTTTCATCCCAACATATTGAGTTTACCTATATCACAAACAAATTAATTTAATTAACTTGGTTCTATATTACATTGAAATAATGGAAAATTAACTAATGAATAATAAAATTTTAAAAATAACTTAATTAATTAGCTAATTTAATTAATTTATTTTCAAAAAAGACTAACACAGCCTCTATGTACTTTGAAGTTATCCACCTGCTTCAATCTTTGCACAAAGCTTAAATCATCTTGAATCAAACAAAGTTGAATGAAAATTAATTTCAATGATTGATTGGTTTATTGTAAGTTTAATTGATTTATTGAATTATTAATTAAAAATTATTAAAATAAAATAAAATTTATTCAATTTAATAATTGAATTAAAATTAATTATTATTTATAAAAGATAAAAAAAATTAATAAACCACCTTTTGTTTTTGCATTAAAAATTAAGGAATAATTTTTCTGATACGAAAGTGCATCCAATCCTTTTAATATATTATCCTTCATAACTTTCAACTTCACTGTCACCTAATCGTTCAAACAAAATATTTACTAGATCATTTTATTTTATATTTATAATTTGGAAAATTTAAAGGGTTAATTGAAAAGTGGATGTAAGTTTTAAATTTAAAAAAGTGCTGGCATAGTAGATATGCATATTCATCTAATTCTAAACTTGGAGTAGCGTGTAAATAATGAATAAATAAATATAAATACGTACTTATATATAAATAAATATATATATACTTATATTATAAATATATGTGTTTATATGCGCTGATTTTCAAAAATTTGAGAACGCATTATGTACATGGATATAATATATTCATGATTATGTATAACGCAGTTACAACTTATAAACAACAGCATAATTTTTTATCAAACAATTTTTGCGACGTATTTATAGATATTAACCGTAATAAATTTGCAATGAGGTTTTAGTTTTTGGCAACAGATGACGAAATTATGCATTTTCCACTTTTATCGTGAAAAGTTTATTTTAATTAGAATGCAAAATGAATAGGCCAAGTATCCAAGTGGGGTAGCCATCCTAGGTCAAAAAAGTTTGTAGAATTCAAATGTTATTTAAACGACGGTTAATTTTAATTGGCCGGTCTCAATTGATGATCAAGATTCCGAGCAATGTCGGTCGTTGATCACAAGACCAATCGGATATTGATGGTAGAAATTATAAGCCTCAGACATGTCGCCATAATAATTTGGAAAGAACGTTTTTCTGATGTTACGCAGTTCAGAATAATCTTTACAATTGAATTTTGTAACTAATAATTTTTTGTATTAAAATTTATACATAAACTGTATAATTTATATATCTGAGTCATATCTTATGAGATGGCTTAAGTTTAACGACTCGTAACCCAATTTAAAGAAATATTTGATCAACTCAGCTTATAAATTGAAATGACGCCCAAAATGTTTAGGTTTCGAGGAAAATTTCACCCGAATAATTCAAAAATGTTTACAATTGTATTATACTTTTAATGGATAAATAAAAATGAAATTTGTTTTTGTCTATTGGAAAGGTTTTTGATGTTTAAAAATTTTTAATTTTATTTTATTACAGTTTTACAAATAAAAACTGAAGCGTAAGAGGTAGCAACAAAAGTTTGATATTCATAGATGGTTTAAAAATAAAACATCGTAAGTTGTCATAGTCTAAATCCTTGAAACCAGTCTACAGGGAAATTTTTCAAAAGTGGCTACCTAACTAGCCAGCGATGTATCTAACTCGCCCCTTTGCGACACCGTCGCACATTCGATAAAGATTCGGATTTAACTCGTCGCGGGCTCCCACGTGATACCGTTGATGACGTTTTTGAGGAAGTTGTGATTGTTGTTGCTGGAAGCGTACCATCCCAGAAGTTCTCGAAGATACGAGCGGTGGTTGTGGATAGACAACAAGCGACTTTTGACGCTGTTTTTTGCTGCCTGACTTGATTTTTTGTTTTTTCAGTGATATTTCACTGCTCGAACTGAGCACCTGTGTATCACTGTCTGTTGACTTCAATGTTGATAACGTCATGGTCGGAGAAGAAACGTGTCCCTCATAGTTGGCATTCTGCTTGACGGCTTCGTTGATCCTCGCCGAATGTTCATGGTTTATAAAAGATCTTCGCCCCATCATTTTCGTTTCCTGTGACCTTGGGGTCTTTTTGTAGTTGCAATCAAACTTTTGAAGCGATTCAGTCAGAATAAGTGATGGAGAACTAGCCAGGAAAGATGAGCTGGCTTTGATGCAGCTAACATTGTTTCGGTTCCTACTGTGGTGGCCGGTGAACTGATCGTCACTATCGGTTTCAGTTGCAAAGATATCTTCACTAAAGAGCACATTCCTCTTTTTTCGTTCCTTCATTTCTGGATGAATTTTTAATCCGGCCAGAGAAAATTTGATGCGATCGCCGCGTGACGATCTGCTGACGACCGAAAATGAACTTTTCAATTCATTTCTTTCTGAGCAGGTGTCACTGAATTGTGGCAGGCAGGATGGGTTCATGTACTGAGCGTGTGCATTCAAATTGCTGTTTAAACCTTCTGATGGCTCCTGCAACTCAATCTGCTGACTTGAATAAACTTGCCTAGTGTAAAATGTCAGTGGCTGCAATTGTTGTTGATGCAGTTGGTGATGTAGATGTTGCTGCAGCTGCTGCTGCTGCTGCTCTTCTTGTTGACGTTGTTGTAACTGTTGTTGTTGTTGTTGCTGTTGATAATCTTCTTCGTCATCTTCTTCCTCTTGCTGATAATTTTCTTGCTGTTGGGGCTGATAATCTTCTTGCTGCTGTAGCTGATAATTTTCTTGCTGTTGTGGTTGATAATTTTTTATTTGTGGTTGATGGTAAATCTTTTGTTGTGGCAGCTGCTGTAGTGGCTTTTGTTGCTGATGATAAATTTCAGATTGGATAACTATTGATTTCGATTCAGTTGCAATTAGCGGCGTTGGAGTTTGAATGGCAAACGTTTGTGAGTAATTAGTCATGACCGAAACGAGACTGTTGCCGTTATCAAACCATTTAGGGGAGCTCCATCTGCTATCCGCGGTACAGGGAGGAACCGTGGTGGGCCAATGATCTATTTGGTCAACAGGCGAGGTAGAGTGCTGGATGTCCAAGCAACCCGATGATGATAATTCAACTGGGTAGTTATCATTGTGCTCATTATGCTTCTGCTGTTGCTGGTTTACCTGAAACGTTATCGCAGTGTTGTCTCCTATTTGAAAAAAGTCTTGGTTGTTGTTGTTGTAGTCGTCAGGTATTCGAACGGGTTGGTTGTAAGTTTCACGAAAGCTCTTCAAAGTTTCAATTGACGGCTGCGAGTGGCTTTGTAATTGGAGTTCCTTATGCAATTGCTGTTGTTGTTGAATTTTTACTTGTTGTAGTTGATGTTGAATTTTTTGTGGCACTTGCTGGTGTTTTAGTGGTTGTGGCTGTTGCGCTTGTTGTTGAATATTTACATTAATTTGTTGATATCTTTGTTGATGCGGTAAATGACGTTGTTGTCGGATTTGTTGTTGATGTTGTTGTTGAATTTGTTGCTGAGGTGGTTGTCGATGTTGCTGTTGAGGTTGCTCTTCAACTTCTTCAGTTTGCTGGTTGTTCAATTGTTGTTTATTTTGGAGATGTTGTTGCTGTTTTAACTGGAGTTGGTATTGTTGTAGCTGTTGAAGCCGCGTGAACTGTTGTGTTTCGTAAGGCACCGTAGGAGCAAGTTGTTGAAAATGCAATCGTTTGTTATTTTCAATTCTCATTTCTTCTTCTTGCATACCCAATTTGCCGTTCTTTCGTCGTCTCTGCATGTGATTCTGATAAAGCGTGATGGGGTTTGTATTCTCCATGCTTGCTTCTTCATTTTTCATGTGACTGCAAGAATTCGAAGGGAAACAACTGAAAGATTTCCTCGGAACTGAAAACGATCTGTTGTTGAATTGTTTTTTCGAAGTCGCCTGATTACTTTCAGACTTTTTTAGCCAGTTTTTAGAGTGAGATGAGTAAGAGCGGACAGGTTTTTCAAGTGACTTTAAAACAAGTTGCTCTGCGAGGCACTCTCTTTCGTAAGCTTTCATATTAAATCGCGGAGCGCCATTTTCTATTGAAAACTCGTGCGCGTTTTCACTTTTGTTCATCTCTAATCCATCTACAATTGAATACTCTCTGACGGGAACCTGCGAAAATTTTATCCTGTTTGAATGTATGTGACTTAATAGGCAGTCTCGGTTTGATCCTTTTATTTG